ATGCGCATGTTTCGCGTCAGCCTGGGGAAGCATCCCCGCCTTGACATCTCCTTGAGGGCCGTCCCCCTCTACTCCACAACACTCCAACGCCCGCCCCGAGGTGCCGCCTCGCCCTCGGTCAACAGGCGTGGAAGCTTGTCCTCGCCCGTACCCCTGCGTCCCGCGGTGACGGCTGTCGGTTCGGAGGCCCTGGGCCTGGTCGTGGCGTTGGGGGCGGGGGGGCGGAGGGGGTGGGTGGACTCGGTTGAGGCCGAGCACGGCGTGGTCGTGGGGGGGTTCTCGCTGCCTCCTGCGCATGTCCCTTCGGGAGACGCACCCAGCTCTGGCCCCATGCTGGTAGCAGGGGAGGGTGTGATCGCCTCTGTCGCTGCGGGCGAAGCGAGAGTCTGGCGGGTGGAGGGCCGGAGAAGGGGGGTCATGGGCCTTAGCCGCGCGCTGGGACAGCTCTCGTCGCTTGTCCCTCCCCCGGGGCTGGACAAGGGGGCTGACGATCTGGCCTTGCCGCTCACGTGCAGGCGCAGTGGGGAAGGAGGCATGACGCCCATGGTTTTTTTTGGGGGGGGGGCCGGGTGGGCGCAGGCCGGGGGGGGGGAGGGGGGGAGGGCGCGTCGCCCGCAGAGGCGGTGCAGGAGCTTTTGGAATGCCTGCAAAGAACCAATAACAATGTGGAAACCCAGCATGTCTGCGAGCAGGGGAAAGGTGCGGAGGAGTGTAGGCGGAAGCAGGAGGAGAAGAAAAGCAGAAAAAAACGGAAGCGGGGGGCGAGGCCGCGATGTTGGCGCCACTGCATGTGGCGACGGAGACGGCCCTCCACGTGGCTGCTCTGTGTCTGGGCGAGGACGCGGGTGTGGGGACTGTGGGGTCCAGGCTGGCTGACAAGGGATCTTGGGCGGCGCCGCGGACCAAGGTCAAGGGCCAGGCAGCCCGGGGGGGAGCGAGGGGAGGAAGGAGGAGCGAGTGGTCATGTGGGTGCTGCTGCGGGCTTTGATCGAAGCCGGCAAGTTCCCACTCCGAGAGGAAGCACCCCTCGTGCTGCGTTTGGTCGAAGAGGGCCCGCTAGAGCTCACAGAGGCCGTGTTGGCCGGGCCGGGGGAGGTGTCGGAGCGGACGATTGTCTGCCTGCTCCGTCGGCTCCTCCGCCCGCAGGAGCACCTCCTAACCCCCATTAGTGCCTCGTCACCGGCCACGCAAGAGCACAGAGATGCTGGGCAACCTCATAAGGGAGATGAGGAGGGGATCCCAGCGCGGGAAGTGGCGAGACTGGCGGGGCTGGCTGTCCGCAGACCCTGCTGTCGAGCCTTCCTGCGCACTGCCCTCGCCGTGGAAATGGACGGCCCCAGCGCTGCCTTGCTGCTCGTGCTGCTACAGGCGCTTTTGGAAGAGGCTGTGGGCGCGGGCGGGAAAGGAAGGCCAACGGAGGAAGCGGTGTTGACCTGGCTGGAGAGCCTGCTGGACGCCAAGTTTGTGGCCTTGGTAGTGGAGGGGAAGCGGGAGAGAGCGGGAGAGGCATGGGGGGACGAGGGGGTCCTACGCCGGGTGCTGGCCTCGACGCAAGAAAGAATTCAAGCGGCGGCGCTCTCGTGCCAGGCCTTGGAGGTCGTGGAGGGCTACATCGCGCAATTCAGACGGGCGGGAGAGAGCCTGCAGGTGATCCCGGATTACTCCTTGGACGTGCTCCCAGTCTAAGCCCCATGTCAAGGTAATGCTTGAACAGGGATGGCACCGGCGGGGCGGGGTAGGATATTTGCATAGGGGAGCTGCCGCCCTTCATTCCGGAGGGTGGAAGAGACGAGCGTGGTGGTGGATCGGGAACTTGGTTCACAGACTACGAAATAGAGGGGATCTGTAAGAGGCATAACAGGTGCCTCCCACAAATCCAGCGCAAAGCATCAGAGAAACGAAATGAAATCATCCTTTATTGGAGAGCGGTCTTGCAAAGCTTGAAACTTTTTACCATGCTGTAGCTTTATGTTGAACCGCTGATTATTCCTCACCCTCCAAGGACATCGGGTATTCTAACACACCTTCGTTCGCTTCCTCATTTTCAATAGTCTCCGTTCAAGTATTTCAGCAACTTCATGATTTTTTTCTCCTTGAGTCCTATACTTCTTCTGTTTCATCCCTTTTCCTTGCTTTTTACCAAGAGAAACATCAATGCACGTGCTGGATTATACCTCTATCGTGTCTCCATCCACCTTCACACCATCCACCTATGTACATGCCCTTATCCCTGGAGCTCTATCACTTTCTATTCCTTTACGACCCCCAAGCGAGCTCATTTCCTCTTCCCCTTCTTCCCACCTCCTTCGCCATTCAACGAAACCGCCCTCCTCTTGATAAACTCGGAGGCAAAGTTCACCACCTCCGGCTTGGAACCCAGATATTGTGAAAGATACTGCCGCGTCTCCGCCGGGCTCTCGACCGTATAGAGAAATGACATGAGCGTCAGGTCGTCGTTGTTGGCAATACGGCGCAGCTCGCTGCCGCACCATGCTGCCAGCTCGGACGGCATAGCGGAGCCGAAGGAGTCGTCGGTGCGGGAGGGAGGCGGGGCAGGCGCTGGCACGGGGGCTTGGACGGGCCGGGCAGGGGCCCGCTGTGCATTGGCTTTCTCCTCAGCTTTCGGTCCCCAGAAATCCTCATGTGAGGCCGCGTGCGCACCAGCGCTCCCTCTCTCATGAGAAGGGGGCCGTGCTGGCACCACCCACCCGGGACGTCTCCCATTTACCTGCCCAAGGCTGGCACCGGCAAGAGGGGCAGACGTCCGCTGAGGAGGAGCGTTGACACCGGCGCGCGCTGCCCAGCCTTTCGCTTGGTGAGGTTCTTGCGCCGCGCGTCGCGCCTCCTCCTCTTGAATCTCTAGTAAGGACTTGACGGGCTTTCCCTTGGCTTGCCATGCCGGCGCCTCCCCCCCCCCAACTCCCACCGCCTCCGGCCCCTAGCCCAAGCATCATCTTCAGCCGCTGTTCCATCTTCGCCTTGTCCCCTCCCCCTCCCTCTCCTCTCCGAGCGACTGCCTCCCTGGCAGCCTGCCCCTCGTCCTTCTTCCGTTCTTCCTCCTGCGACTGAATGGCGGTCAGAAGACCCGTGCCTCCCCCTCCGCCTCCCTTTGCCGAGGCATCCCTGTTCCTATTCCAGGCCCCACCCGGTTGTTGCTGCTGCTGGAGCAAGAGATGCTGCTGTCGGACCGCCTCTGCCTGTTGCTCAGCAAGCAAGAGTTTCTTCTCGCGTTGGGAAAGCTTGCCCTGGGAGACGGGAAGCTGAACATGAATGGGTCCCGACGGAGGGGGCGGAGCGCCGTCGCTGTCGTTTCCCGTGCTGCCATTGGTAGAGGTAGACGTGGAACGGGCAATGGCCGGAGAAACCACCCGCTTGTCGGCGGCGGAGACAGCGGGATTCGAGGCGTAGGCAGCCGCCGAGGCCTCTTCTTCCTGGATCTCCGCCAAGCTCTTGGGACGGGCATGCGCCGCCTGGGTGGTCGTGGCGCGTGCCCAAGACATGCCCCCCCCTTTCCCACCCGAAGCAGCCATCCGCGCTTCCTTCAAGGCCCGCTGGCGCCGCTCTTCCTCTTTCTGGATCTCCGTCAAGCTTTTTTGAGGGGTCACGGAAGTGCTCCCCGACCATGGGGCCACAGGCGCGTGTTTCTGGTCCGCCGATCCGCGTTCTTCTTCCGAGGTGCCCGCGGCCCCGTCATCGAGGTGACCCCTGTGATATGGGTCGCTGTTCTCCCCGCCTACCTGGCTATGTCGCCCCTTCTCCCTCTCCTTTTCCTCTCTTTCCTTCTGCCTCGCCTTCTCCTCCTCCTTCTCTTTCTGCTGATTTTGACGTAGCACGCGGGCAGCTTCCTCCACCTCCTTCCTCCTCTTCACCTCCGCCGCGTGTGAGTCCCTCTTCTCTTTTGCCTCTGCTGCTGCTGCCGCCGCTGACGCCGCCGCTGCTGCCGCCTCTGCCGCTGCTGCCGCTCTGGCTGCTTCTTGCTCTTGCTGGCGTTGCCGTTGCATCGTGTCTTGCCTGACACGCTCCTCAGCCTCCAGCCTGACCAACATTGCATATTCTTCTGCCGCCCTCCGGTGCTCATCGTCGCGAGGCCCCGATTGCCCTGATCGCGGCCCGTGAATGTCTTCCTGACCCTGTTGTTGCTGCTGTGGTTGTGGTTGTTGTGGTTGTGGTGCTTGTTGTGGTTGTTGTTGTTGATGTTGTTGTTGATGTTGTTGTTGTCGTTGCTGTTGCTGCTGCTGCATTTTGTGATGAAGCTGTTGCTGTTGGTACAACTGCTGTTGCTGCTGATGCTGTTGTTGATGTTGATGTTGGTGCTGCTGTGGTGGTGGTGGTGGTGGTGGTGGTGATTGTTGTTGTTGTTGTTGTTTTTGTTGTTGTTGTTGTTGTTGTTTTTGTTGTTGTTGGTGGTGGTGTTGTTGTTGGTGTTGGTGTTGGTGTTGGTGTTGTTGTTGCTGCTGCTGCTGTTGTTGTTGTTGTTGTTGTTGCTGTTGTTGTTGTTGTGGTGGTTGTGATTGTTGTTGTTGTTGTAGTTGAAGAAGGTGCCGAAGCTGCTCCTGCTGCTGTGCATCCCGTAGAGCGATCTGTCGGACCTGGTAGAGTGCCTGCTGCATTTGCTGAGGTGTCTGCAGAAGGTCCATCTGCTGCAGCATCGCCAGGTGCTGCTGCTGGGCAGGGGAAAGAGGGCCACTCAGACCCGCTTGCTGCTGCTGTGGTGGCTGCTGCTGTGGCTGCGATGGATGGAGGATCTGGGGTGCTGGGGGCTGTTGAGGCGTGGGAGCGACGGAGGGTGGGCGCATGAAAGCATCGCTCAAGTCGGCGTAGAGCTCTTGCAGGGGCCGAAACTCGCCCTCCGTGTCTCCCAGGCGCATGCAGAGCCCGGGCTTGAAGTAACCTGCCTCGTGCCACTGGCGCATATCCGCCGTCTTGAAGGGCCCCTGGACCTTGCCGTGGGGGTCACGGTAGAACCAGGCGTCTGGAGGCCCTCGGGAGGGGGGATGCTGCTGTCGTGACAGGGCTTGCGAGGGGGACTGAGGAGAAGGGGACATTTGAGAGTGTTGTTGCTGGTGCATTCGTGCTAGGTGTTGTTGCAAAAGTTGTTGTTGCTGCTGTTGCTGCTGTTGCTGCTGTTGCTGTTGCTGCTGTTGCTGTTGCTGCTGTTGTTGCTGTTGTTGCTCCTGTTGCTGCTGCTTTCGCTCCCTTTGGTCCTGTTGTGGTGGTGGTTGCGGCTGTCGTCCCTGTTGTTCATGGTGTTGCTGTTGTTGTTGCTGCTGCAAAGCCCGTAGCTGCTGATACATGCGCTGCTGCTGCTGTTGCTGCTCTTGTTGAAGCTGCTGCTGTTGCAACAGGCGCTGCTGCTGCGAGTCCGGGACCGTTGATCCCTGTGGCGGCAGTGCCAAGCCGAGGCGCTGGAGGTGGTTAACGGGGGTACCGACGACCGATGGGGCTACAGGGTCCCCTCCTTGGTGCCCTACCCGCAGATGCCCTGGTTGCGGCGGCTGCTGGGGCTGCGGTAAGCCGGTTTGACCTAGGACGTGGGCGTGCACCGGAGGGGTCTGATGATGCTGGTCGGGGTCTGGGAACCCGATGGGGGAGGAGGAGAAGGCGGGGCCCGCGGCCTCGCGTCCCGGGGGCCGACTCGGAACGAGACCGAAGCGTGCCAAGAGACTGAGCCCTGCCTCGCCCTCCTCCGCGGGGGTGGGGGTCGCCGGGGGTAGCCCCGACTCCTTGCCTCGCCCTCCTCCCTCCCGNACCCCCAGCTCCCGCAGCCCCTCCTCGGATCCCCACCCAACCCCCCCACCACCACCATCCCCTGGTCCCACTCGCCCCCTCCCCAAACGTCTCAGCATTATCATGCGACTCTTGCTCCATTCCTCTCTCCTCCACGCCCGCCTCTTTTCCCTCCATCTTCCGTTGCTGAGCCAGGAAGGCTTCTCGCTCCGCGTGGAACTTGCGCGTGCTTTCGGCCATGGTCTCGAAGAAATCCTGGTCCCCACTTCCTCCTGCGCCCCCCGCCCCCGCCCCGCCCCCCCCTTCCCCATCCCCCACGTCGTCCCAGAGGATGGCCTCTTCCTTCACTGGCAGGGTCCTCTCCCGCGGCCACACCGACCCGCCCTCCGACTCCCCGGCACCACGGCGTCCGTCCAAACGCCGACCGACGCTCCGCCCTTTCCCAGCCCCCGCCTCCCCCCCGCCCTGCCCCAAGCCCTCCTCCGCGCTCGTTTTCTTCCTTCTTCTCCCCCGTCCACGCTCCCCTCCCCCTCCCCATCCAGGTCGGACCCACACTTCCCCCCCCCCTCCGCGTCCCTTGCCCCGCCCTGCCGCCCGCATGCGCGACCAATGCCTGCTGGTCTCCTCCCTGTCCAACGGCCCCCCTCCCCCCATCGGCTCCAAAGGCTCCACGCTAATGATGGTGGGAATCTCCGCCATGTCCGTCGGGAGCCGTGAGGGGCGGCGGAGGGCCAAAAGCTGCTCACGAGAGAACTGGATGACTGTATGCGTGAGAACCACGGATTGAGACCCGGCCGGCGATGTGAGGTGCAATCATGGCTGTATGGGAGCAAATTTCGGGGCTCTTGGATCCCGGAGCGCAAACGTGTCGCCTACCTCCTTCCCTGCCCCTCCCACCTCCTCTTCCCCTCACCCCGCCCTACCGGGCTTGCGCCGCTCTCACACAACACCTCAACAAAATTATTCATATCCGCATACTTTCCGTGGAAACAGGGATGTGCTTTCGTCCTCGACCTACCTTTCTTCTTCGCCGCCGTTGGGGGTGAACCCGTCGCGAGAGTGCCTCCTCCTCCGCCGCCTGAAGCCTTACCATCGTCTTCGGGTTTTAGGGAGAGAGAACCTTGAGCCCAAGCCCCTCCCACCGTCGGTGGCTTCACAGAAGTTGTGCCCAGCATATTTCCAAAAGGCGCTTTGGCTTTAGTTGATTAGAGTTAGCTGAGGATTGTGGAGAGAGGCGAGCAAGGAAAAGGAAGGGACGTCATGAGGCCGAAGTGGGACTTGAGGGAGTCTGCCTTGCTTTTCCCCCGAAAAACACGGCTCATAAGTATACGCATACAATGAGTACTCTTAATGGTAAGATAGCAGATCGGGCGAAGAAGAAGAGGCTGCGAGGGGGACCACCCCCGAGGTTTAAAAGTAGTGCCGGGCGGACTCCTTGGATACTGAAGTCCAGGATGCAGGAAAAAAATGCGTCCACTCCAATCCACCAAAAACCATCAACATCAACGCGCACTATCACCTCAGCCTCCTCGTCATCCACTCCCCTCGTGCGAGATCGACCCGTCCGTTTTCATTCCAGAGCCCGCCGTGGGCCCTGCGCTAGCAAGAAGAAAAAGAAAGGCCCCCGGCCGCTGCGAGAGAGCCTCCAGGCGAGGGGCGGGTGGCGGGGAGGTTGGCAAGCAGGAAGGCAGATATTCAACAGGTTACTTGCCATGCCTGCGTACCTCTCACAGAGGTGTCGGTGTACACATATATACAGGTATCCAAGTTTTTAAGGGGATTTGCTGGTGTCGTTTGTGGTCTCAAATATGGTCAGAACGACACAGAAACGGAAGGCGGCTATGACTTCTGCTGGTACAACATCTGCGAAGCCTGCCAAAAAAAAACAAAGTACCACTATCAGCAGCAAGCAAGAGCAAGCAGAATCCCGAAATAGACGGAATAAGGACGAAAATGAGGCTCTCACTCGGGTAGAAGACGAATCCGAGGAGCAGGAAGACGAACAAGAGAACCTTGTTAGGCGCTCCTCTACCCGCATGGGTGGAATGCACGGTTTGATGCTACGGGGCCGCGCGGATGGAAGCAGCAGCAGCGACAGTGGAGCCGACGAGGATGAGAATGATGAGAATAGTGTCAGCGACAGCGCGGATGCAACGGCGCGTGCCAGGAACGGTGGGGGGAGCAAAAAACGCTTGCTCTCTGCCGCCTCTTCCGCAGGGCGGGCGTCGAACGTATCCAAGCCGATGACAGGAAAGAAGGACCCTGACGTACAAAATGATTTCTCCAATACATCCAGTCACCCTGTCGTTGGAGCCGCTTCGTCAAGTACGGTCAAATACGACGGTTCTTACAAGAATCGACAGCGTGTCCTGGTCTTTTGTTCGCGGGGCGTGACGGCGCGCTACCGCCACTTGCTGGAGGACCTGCGGAAGCTCATTCCCCACCACAAAAAGGACGTCAAGCTCGACTGCAAAGGGGACTTGCAGGTCATCAACGAGATCGCGGAGGTCAAAAGCTGCAACAATTGTCTGTACTTGGAGGCTCGGAAGCGGCAAGATCTCTATCTGTGGCTAAGTAAGACACCCTTGGGGCCTTCTATCAAGTTCAGCGTCCTCAACGTGCACACCCTCGACGAGCTCCGCCTCACGGGCAACGCCATGCTCGGTTCCCGACCCGTGCTTTCCTTCGACGAGGCCTTCGATGCCCGCCCCCACACCCGCGTGATGAGAGCCCTCCTGGTCGACGCCTTTGGGACCCCCCGGGGGCACCCCAAGAGCAAGCCCTTTGTGGACCGAGTCCTGGCCTTCGCGCTCGCGGACGGCAAGGTGTGGGTGAGAAACTACCAGATCGTGGATGCGGCTCCGGCGGCGACGGCGGCGGACCCTGAGGCGGCCGCGAAGGCCGAGGCCAAGGCCGCCGCCAGGGCGGCCGCAGGGAGGAAAAAGGAAGGGGGAAAGGGAGAGGCGGGGGAGGGGGAGCTGACCAGCCTGGTAGAGATCGGGCCTCGCTTTGTCTTGAACCCGATCCGCGTCTTCGCCGGCAGCTTCGGGGGGCCCACCCTCTACCAGAACCCGGACTTCACCTCTCCTAACTTCGTGCGGGCGGAGAAGAAGCGGGCAGAGGGGGCGAGGCTGTCGGCAAAAATGAAAGCGGATGGGCTGAGGAAGGAGAGGAAGGCACAGGCAGTGCTGCCCAAGGACGAGCTCCAGGAGCTTTTCCGGGTTAAGGTGTGAGGGCGGGCAGGGAAGGGGAAGCGAGAGACATGGAGGGCAGAGACTGCGCGCGACAGGCGGTCAGGGAGAGGACCGCGCCCATACTTTGTGTCGCTGGCACGCCAACGGGAGCGCGAGTGAAAAGAAAAACGTCACGCCTAATTGCACATGTAAACGCGCTCGTTTTTTCCTTTCCGCACTACCCACCCTCCCCCCTTGACCCACCCCCGCTCCATCTCTACCTCCCACCTTGTCTTATTTACACGCCCTCCGTCTTCCCCCTCGCGCCCTAGTCATCCCCGAAGACGGTGCTGGTCGCCCCCCCCAAGGCCGCCATCCCGCTCCGCATGGCCAGGCGCGCCGCCGCGAAGGTGACGTGGAGGGAGGTGAGGGCAGGCCGCGCGAGCACCTGGGCGTACTTGGCGTAGGGCTGGAGCTGCTTCTTGGCCCAGCGAACGGGGGGAACGGCCTGCACCATGTCGGCCGCGTCTATGACCGAGTGCCAGGCCGCGTCCAGGAGGGTGTGCCGCTCGATCACGAAGACTGTCTGCCGGTGCACCCTGAGCCGGCACTCGGGCGCCGCCTCGGGGCCGCGGGCCTGTCGGGCGGTGGGGGTGCGGAAGCCGACCAGGAGGTAGGCACCGGAGACCGCCTGGGAGTGGGAGGGAGGTATAACGGGGGGGGAAGGAAGGGAGGGAGGGAGGGGGAGTGAGTTGAGGGAGTTAAAGGGGAAAGGGAGGAAGGGAGGGAGGGAGGGGGAGGGGGGAGGGAGGGGATAGGGGTGGGTCAGGGAATCGAAAGGACCGGCGAGTTTCCCACGAGGCGACAGGCCCGCCCCCGCTCTCTGTCCCTTGTCAAGCACTCACCCGCACGACCATGGGCTCGTTCGTGGGGAGGACCAGGGAGCGAGGAGAGCGCGCGAAGGCCTCGAAGAAGACCACGTCGTCCATTTCCGGCACCATGCCCACGGGCTCGTACTCCACCACCACGTGCAGGCGCCCGGGCCCCGGACTGAGCGAGACCCACTCGTCCATCACGTGGCTACCGCGCGACCCGTTCAGGAGGGGCAAAATGTCCAAGGAGCCGGAGCCCAGGTCGCGGCCCTTGCTTCCCCCCAGCGGGCTCCGCCACGATGCGGCATCCAATGCCTGGAAGACAACCAAGACTGGCGCACCTTCTTGGAGCACACCTTTCTTCAAATTCATGGTGAAGCGCTCTTGCCAGGACGGGTGGGCATTCCTGGGAACCACCGAGGATCTGGCCTCCTCGGCGGGGACTCGTATTACGACTTGAGGGGAGACGCTCGCACTCCGCCCGGACTCGCCTCTTCCCGTCGAGTCCAGGTCACGGCCGTCTATGAGCCGGATGTCTAGGATGCCAATCGTGCCTTTCTGATGGTCCAGGTACCTGTACGGATTTTGCCGCACCGCCATTTCCGGTCTCCAAATGGGAGCATCTGCGGCTTGGAAGGGGGAGGTTTCGCGAGCTGCCATAGTGCACGTTCAAGGCCAAGGTCGCGAGCACGGACTTCGCAAAGCAAAGTCACCCTCTGCGGCCCACCAATTTAACAGGCCTTCTACTCCTCCTGTTAAATTGATTCGGAGAGCGTCAGTGCACGAGAAGGGCTGGCATAATGCACGCACAGCAGCAAGGGAGGCGTGGAGGAATCCCATTGTAAAGCCTCCAAAAACATCACGGGGATGTTAAACGCACCCATAGCTGAATAGGTGCACAAAAAATATTGATAACAGAAGGGAAAATCAGAATTAGCCTCGAAAGTGCGGGCATGAAAGGCTTAAGGGTCTCAAATCGAGGGCGTAAGCGAGGCAGAAGGAAAGACGAGCGAGGTCGAGCACGGCGCACGACTCCTAAGTATCGAGACCGCCGCGCCCCTTTCTCGTGCCATAGACCCTTGTTTCATTTTGATAGGGCGCTCATTAATACACTGCGCTACTGAAAGTACCCAATACCGTGTTGTTATGAGATTAATGGCTCACACTGTGGGGGAAAGGTGCATAAGGAGCTCCGAGGGCAGGAAGTAAGGAAAAAAACAAAACATCAAGATTGAAAATATACTGCACATAAAACGATGCCTGAATACCTCGGTCAAGTGTCTACTTTTTTATCGGGCCCTCCGCATTTCCGTCCTCGCTCTCTCCTTCCTCAGCCCCGTTGGGGGACCGGGAGGGAGGTAACGCTCCTGGGGATGCGCTCTTGACCGGATGCTCGTCACCTTCCGACTGATCAGTCTCTTCGTGGTCCTCGTGAAGCGTGAAGTTCTTCTTCAGCCTATCACTCTTGCCGCCGGTGGATGAAGTGGAAGACGACTGCAGGATGTCTTCTCCCCTGTCTTTGTCCCCCCCCTCCGTCACGCCTTTCGCGCCATCTTTCTCTTCCGCTTCATCCCCCTCGCCCTCTTCGACATCCGCACCTCCCAACAAGGCATTCCTCAACGTCGGCGGGAAGTCGTTCTGATGCTGCTGGATGCACTCGGCCAATTTCAGCGTGACACGGGCGCAGGGCCCCACGAAGTCCTCCTCCTTACTCTTGTGGAAGTGGATGCACTTCTCCCACCGCACCCAGGTGGCACCGCATGGACTTGCCCGCATAAAATGACAGAGGGGGCACTCTGTCTCCTCCAGCTCTACTGAGTCGTATCTTCCTTCGTCCTCCTCCTCCATCTCGGAGAGCACGGCGGCGATATCACCTGCAGGGGTGAGCGGTCTGCCCTCCGGGCTCGCGGGGTGCGGCTCACTGCTGCTACTGCTTTGGGAAGGCTTCGCTTTTTCCTCTTTTGAGGCGCCCGATTTGGAGAGGCGGGCAGTGATGGTGAAGGAGGTAGAGGGGGAGGCGGAGGAGGTATCAGTGGCAGGAAGGGCGGCGTCAGCCTGTGATTGTGCAATAGAATTCCAAAGAAGAAATGACAGGCGAATAAGTGCGCGACTCACAACGGCCGAGTAGGTGAAAGGGGCCGGCTTAGGCCTCATACATGCCCCCTCTCGATTTCATCTGAGCTGTGCGTCGCACATTACGTTCGTTTCGACCATACCATCTCTGGTGCTGTTTGTGTCTCAGCAGTAACGGATCTTAAGCTTCGACAACGCACCTGGGCTGGCATGGAGTGCGCTAGGAGGAGGCATGTTCCTGCCCCCGTGATGCCGGCAGCTACGAAATGAGGAGCCTGATGAGCCCGTGGGGCCATGCTTGCGGCCGAGACAAAAGCTCTCCTCGCAGCCTGACGTGCACAGCTTTGGAAGCGGAACATGCTCTGGATTATTGTGTGGACAAAGAGTGGTACAAGGCGTCAGGGAATGTGTTGTAAGTCAGAAGGGAGGTCGAGTCAGCCCCTTTCCCGTATCCTGTTGTCCCGGTGTATTATATTATTGATGCTCCTAATAGCTCTTTCCAGACGTAGAGGCAAGTGACAGCCATCCAGGTCGAAAGTGGGCTTGAAATGGCCTCATCAACCTTCCAATACATACATACGTGCGTCTCCTCGTGCCTGGGTCATGATACAGGTCGCGAGTCTCGCCGTGAGCTCGCTAAAGCTCCCTCACGTTGGGCTGCAGGGCGCGCGGGCCGTACAACCATTTTGCGCGGCAGGGCCGCACTTGTGTGTTATTATGTGTTCCCCGCTGTCTGATTTCTCAACTCGCCAAGCATCGGAATAGCCAGGCATTTTTTGCTGAGAAAAGCTGAGAAGAGTCCTTCCCGACTGTCGAGTGACCAAGTTCCTGAAGCCCCTTGAAGCCATAACACTAAATATTGCTTAACAGAGAGAGGCACCATCGAAAGGTGTCTACTTCGCTCAGATTGAACCTAGGGCTTCTCGTTGGAGGAGTCCATACACTCACCGGAGGAGTCCATACACTCACTGCGCTCAATCATACCCAGCAACGCGGGCGAGCATACAATTTAGGGGCTAGTAGGCAAAGTTTTTAGAGAAAAATATCGCAATCAAAACTGCCAAAGAAACTGAATCTACGTGCGGGAAACTTGCTGTTATTTTGTCTACGAGTGCACGCCTATCAATTCTCTTGCCGACAGCCACCTCCCGTTCCTCCCTGTCGGCGGGCGAGAAACCTCTTTGGGGTGCTGACCCCGCCCGCTAGCCCAACAGGACAGCTCCAGGATCTTGCCATGAGTCAGATAGATGTTAAATTCTTCTCCCCAGGTGCCTTTAGCTATCCGCTGACTCCAACCTGGCTCAACCCCCTTGGCCCTCCCTCCTTCTCTTCCTTGCTATCAGCCCTGCCCCGCACGTCCTCCCCCTCCAGCCCCTCCAACCTTCCTTCTCCGTCTAACTATCCATGCGCACCTTAACGCCATGGGAATATGGGAGGCACAAACTCGCTAGGAAAGGCCGCCCTCGTCAGCCTCCCGACGTTCGCGCCGCCCTCCATTCCCCGACGCCACGCCTCCCTGCAATCATAGCCTCCGCGCTGCAGCCCGCCTTAGCGCCCGCCTCTCTGTGTTTTCCTCCCTCGCTTTCGCCCCCTAGTCCCTCTTCGCCTCTGCATCCGGCTCCTGAGTCCCCTCGGAGGACCCCTCCTCCTTCTCTCCCTCCTTCTTCACCTGCAAGTTTGACAAAGCCTCCGCCGCTTCCCCCGCCGCCTCCGCATCCCCCTCCTTCTCGGGTTCGTCCTCCACTGTGTCGCCCAAGAAACGAGACCAGAGAGCCGTTACTACTGGAATAAATACATTCGGAGAAACAAGCCGCCCGCCCCCCCCCCCGGGCCCCTCCTTTCCCCCCCTCCCCCCCGGCCCTCCGCCCTACCCGCCACGAATGCCTTCATCGCCTTCTTGGCCTCCTCAAAGGCCGCCTTGAACTCCTCCGCGTCCTGAGGCTTGCCGAACTTGAGGGCGAACACCTCCTCCTGCAGGTCCCCCTCCGCGTAGTCGTAGGCCGTCCACACCCAGGACCGGTCCGAGCCCACATTGGGCTGCATGACGATGCGCGGGTCCACCA